AAATCACTAGCTACAATCCCAATCTTCAATAGATCAACCAACGGTATTCAGTGAGTATAAAATATTGCCCCTTTATTCCTAGTCGCCTACGCAGCTTCGTCACGCAACGCTTACTACTTAGGGGAGTGAGCGTGGCGTGACGACACTAATAGCGGCTGCGTAGGAGACTACTTTATTCCTAGCAGTTGAATTGCTGATTTCCTCGCAAAGATCTTGATTCGGTGAATTTATCAAGTGATTATTAAAACAGTCATTAGCCTTTTGTTACATCATTCAAAAAGCCACAATATTTATCACTCTTTTGAGAATGACTACAAACCAACCATTTCAGATGGCTGTGTGGTACGGAAAGTCCATGTGCCAACATCGACCCCAAGTTTCCTGATAACGCAGAATACTTTTTCAGAGTGGAGTTCTCTAACAAGTAAGTATAATATAAAGGATCAAAACATTTTATCGTGATTCTGAAGGAATTTTTTCTTGATCGTTCACTACACCGTACAGCTTCAAACAACAGAACACCAGAACGTTGTCTATACTCACATGTCGATCAGTTTTAACACTTTTCTATAACTTGTWTCGAAGAGTATACAAGATGAACAAAATGTATCTATACTTTTGAGACCACAATAAGGCATGTCGAGGTTGAGGAAGAAACTGGGTCAAGGCTGTGTGGGGTTGTTTTAGGGGAAGTATTTCAAAATGGCGGCTAGTTCTTCGCTTAAAACAGCCCAAATGCACTGCAATAGACCAAATTAGCTTTGTTGTGATGTTTTCCCATTTTGGACAACGTGTCATTCCCTTGAGAATAAGATTCTTTGTTTGAGTTGTGTCCATATTCATGTATCTTCTCATGTGCAATCGTTAAACAAAGAAATGATACTCTAGGGAACATGGTCTGAAATGGGAAAAACTATGTGCCCAAGAATGAGGTCTATTGTTTATCTTGGTGAATTATAACATAGCAAAGCCAGGGCAGGATTTCATGCGGTGCCTGTGACCCATTCCCTATGCTTTATAAAAAGCATGCGTTCTAGGGGG